AATAGATTCTCTGCTGTCTTCTATGCTGTTTTCTAGCTTAGCTATTAATCTTATAACTATTATTCTAAATTCTTGCTCAGATATATTGTTTATATCTGTTTTGAGCTGTCTAGCTGTGATTTCTTCCTACAATTTGTTTTTAGAATTCTGTTTCATCATTTTGGCTAGTGTTATGTTATGTTATGTTATGTTATGTTATGTTATGTTGTTATGTTATGTTATGTTATGTTATGTTATGTGTCCTACATCTGTGAGCCTTTCTATATCAAAAAGGGATCATACGCTGTCCAGGGTCTGGACCTCCTTCAGGAGGTCTTTTTGGAATATGTTACATGCTCTCCGATGTTGTTACTCTGGTTGTTTTATCTCCCTACTTGTAGTGGTGGTTTGGACCTTCAAAGGTGTACTTTGGTTTGTTCATTTAAGTAACTCTGGAAAAAAATTATAAAAAGGTGGGTTGGTGGAAGAAGCCTTATCCCATACAAAGGGAGAAATGACAGGGGCGAGGAAAAAGAAAAGAAAAAAAAACTGACCTGGGAAGAGAATCAGAGAAACTATATGGCTTAATCAAGAGAGAGAGAGAGAGAGAGAGTGCACAAGGAAAATAAAGGAGATACAGAAGAAGTATAAAAAGAATAGATTAAAAATGTCTGCTTAAGGAAAACAACAACCAGAATAACCAGACTAGAAAAAGGGAAGAAATAAGAGGAAGAAAAGGAAGAATATATATATGTAATATATATATATAATTCCTAATATATATATATATATTAGGAATTGACCAAGAATCAAATCAGAAAATGCAAAACCACTGGACCGATATCTAATTGTACCTTGGAACTAGTGGCTGTGCTTGTCTGGAGGAAGGGCTGTCTGGTTCAATCAGTGTCAATCTAGCTCTGGTGGATAAGCAGTTACCAGAGGTGGAGGGGCTAGTTTGGTGTAGGCAGTCCCGTCTCCACTGCGGGCCCCTTGTCCATTCCCTGAAGCCTCACCTTGATGGTGATGGGGAGAAAAATGGCAACATCCCAGTGTCTCTTCCCCAGACTGGGTGTCCCAGACCACTCTGTTCAGGCTGTCCTCACAGTGTCACACGGGAACGAGCAGGCCAGTTCTGTTCTTCTCCACAGTCTCCTGTGCCTCCTAGATGCTTAGCTGGGATTCAAACTCTGATGTCTTAAAGGATCCTGCTCGGTGTGCCACAGTCCATGGGTAGTGCCATGCTGCCAAGGCACCCCGCCCACCAAGGGCCTGTGGCTGGTGAGCACTGCAAGGTCCTTTGTCTTCTGAGCGGTGACATGCCTTCTTCCCACAGCTCTTAAGAGAAGAGATTTCTGTCTCCTACTGTGCCTCTGAGCTTGCTACTGAGCCTGGAACTGGCTCCCTTCCTTCCCAGGCACGCGAACATGGTGGCAGGCCCCAGTCCAGAGAAAGTCCTGCAACCCTGGATCATGTTGGAAATTGGTTCTTTTTCCCTTTTTTCCATTCCCTGCTCCGTGGGTCTTCTCTGGTCCAAAATCAATCCTACACACATCCACAACCTTTTTCCCTTTCTTTGTCTCTCCACAGAAGGGGATCCCTCCCCTCTGCTGCCTGTTTTATCTCTCCCAATTTGCAATCCTGCACGTATGGCCCGCCAACTTGTCCCCATGGGTCTCTGGAGATGTTTCTGTCACTCTGTAGCCCAGATTCCTGGAATTCCAAGTCTTCTGGCCTCAATACTGCTGTGTTTGAGGGATGAGGGAACTTTGGGTCCCCCTACTTCTCCATCATGTTGACTCTTCCCAAAGGTTTAAATTTTAAAAAGTGAGTAGACACAAATATTAGAAGAATGGGTCAATTTCTCTATAATCAGGAAATGAGTAAATACCAATAGCAAAGTAGAAAGGCAAGTGATAAATTGGAAAAACAAAAATATTTGCAACTTACAGTGCTTAAGAGCTTATATGTAAAGATCTTCCAAAAACAGAAATGAAAAAGATCAATACCTTTACGGAAAAATTGGCAAAAGCTAAGGGATAATTACTCCTTACATTGCTAATTGAATACAAAATGGCAGGTCCTGTGAAAAGGTGCTTGGCAATATTAGGCCAAAGTATATATGCATTACCCTCTGACACAGATATCCTACCTCTAGGAATCCATCCCCAAAATATTCTAGCAAAAATGTGAAAAGATGTAGGCATAAGGTTACTCTTTACAATGGTATCTAAAATTACAAAAGACTGGAAACATTCGATAGTGACTGAATAAACTGTAGTACAGCCACGAAATGGAGTATGTTATATCTGTAAGAATGAGAAATAGCACCATATGCAATTAGGCACTGATGTCTGGAATATATTCTGAAATGGGAAAATAAGGTGGAAAGATTGCCTCTAATATGCTACCACTTATCTGTAATAAGTGGGGGGATTTAAATATGTATGCATCTTTACTGACATTAAAAATGGAAGGCTATGCTGACATTTTTGGAAAGGTTTGCCTATGGGGGAAGGAGCAGACAAAGAGCAGGGAAGGGAATAGAAGCTGGAATTTTCTGCATATACCTTATCTTGTGGATTGGCTCTAGAAGGCTGTAGCTATTTTTGCACGATTATAAAGCAGAATTACAAAGCAGCATTTTAAGAAGCAATCCTTAAAAATCAAAATCAAAGAAATCAAACTGTTTATTGAGTCAGCAAAACATCAAGAGAAATAATTCTGAATGGCTCTAGAACATAAGAGCCTGACTTTATTACAGTCTAATGGGATATTCTCAAGTTATTAAAATAGTACTCTCCCCCCCGCCAAGTATCTTGAACTGTTTTTACCAAACAAAACATAGATGGCTGTGTTAGTATTATGACTTGTTCTGAAGCTATTATGTTTATTGTGGGGTAAAGCAAATTAATAATGATGTTGGTCCTGGTGGACTTAGGTATTCAGAGGCAATTGGCTTTGTCAGCCCTTGACAATTCCACAGTGTGGGGCTTACCCTCAGTTTAGACTACAGACCAGGTCAGGAGCTGGAAGCTATAAGTAGAAGCTTCCTGATTGGACGGATTTCTTCCTACCTACGGCAGGATCAGCAGCTCCTTTGGTAGCCCAGTTTCCTGTGACTCTGGAAGATATTCTTGGAAGATTAGCATAAGGTCTGTCTCTTCCTTTCTAAGCAATTCTAGAATTGTCCCTGTTTAAGATTTAAAAAATTTTTTTGAATATTTATTTACTTTTGAGAGAGCGGGAGAGACAGGGCATGAGTGGGGAAGGGGCAGAGAGAGGGAGACACAGAATCCGAAACAGGCTCCAGGCTCTGAGCTGTCAGCACAGAGCCTGAGGCGGGGCTTAAACTCATGAAGCATGAGATCATGACCTGAGCCGAAGTGGGCTGCTTAACCCAGGGGCCCCAATAGCTAAAGAAGATTATGTTCATTACATCTAAACCATGACCTATTCAGAGGTATTTTGTTTTGTTAGATAAAATCATTATGTACGACCTCAACATAAAAATGGGTAAAAGCAGTGTTGCACTAATTGAACTACCTGGAAGGTATGGGCAGTGAGGAGAAAGTTGGGGGCAGCTCACACGTTTCCCTCTCACTCCACCCTGCTGCCCAAGATGGTTCCTAAGACACCATGAGGAGCCCTAGGACTCCCCAAACACAATCTGGAAGTCTATTCTTAACATGTTTGCCATTATTAAGCTTTTAAGCACACACATCGCATTATAGATCTTGATATATAAATGGATAAAATATAAACCACTTTGCCTGCATGTGTATGAGCCCCTACAACATAGGCTGTAAAGAGACAAAAGCTTGGCATCACAAGCCTCATGCAGAAATAGCGATGTTGGTTTCAGAGTCCTCAGCCTGGACAGTGATCGTTATCAGTGTAGCACGTGGGAAGGACCCTGTGACTCGCCCATGGCACATATACACCATTTCCTGTTAGATTTGTGGCTTGGTCACTCTTTGAAGAACCCTCCATTGCTCAGCAGCCTATCTCTTAGAGTAGCTTCTGCTTGGGGAAATTGGCTTCCCCCAGAGGCTGGGTGTCCTCCCTCAGATCTGCACTTTAGTTTTGATTTGGCTCAGTCTTGGGCACTGGTTTCACCAGTACCCCTGCTTTAGATAAGTATGTTGATAGCTGCAGGGAAGCGCATCCTCTCTGTGCCTGCCTGACAGTCCTGGCCGACCATCAGCATCAACATAACAGCACATTTGTCCCCTCCGTCTTTCCCCTAGTATCCTAGAAGAAAGGCTGAAGGTCCTTCACATTCTTTTGTCCTCACTGGAGGTGTCCGAAGCAGCCACGCTTCCCCTCTGCAGCCTCTGTCCTAGACACCCCCTAGTATAAGTTGCCTTCCTGGGAAAGTGCCAGCACTTCCAAAACCTCATCTCAAGATTCACTGTCCAACAGGCAATTCCAAAGAGATGAGAGGATACGCCTCTCTGCCCCTGCCTGTCACACTAGCCCGTTGTGTGACCTGGGTCAATCCCCTGGTTTTGGACTCTGTGGGCAATAAGCTCTCTGCTTTAAGAGAATATAACTCTATTTTAATAAATGTTTCAGCACATAATAGACCTACATGGAGTATTTGTACATCTTAGATGGCTGGCTATTCATGGATTCTCTGAAATGGACCCCGCTGTTTAAGGACACCTGAATCCACAAAGAGAATGCCATTATTCTATCAATAATAGTTATTTATTGGTCTTAGATGGAACTGTTTGCACTTAGACTTAAAAATATGCACACAAATTAACTGGCATGTGAAGAGCTAATACTCATGCTGTGTATTGAGTGGTTTTGTAGAAGAGAATTCTTTTTTTGCTCCTGGATGGAAGGTAGAACAAAGAAGGTATATACAAAGTGATGTGACATAAAGAAAAAGACAGAAGAAGATAGATGTAGGAGTTCATTTTGATGACCCATATTGTATTAAAACAGGTGGAAATCTATGTTGAAGATGAGGAAGGGAAATGTTCACATAAGTGAAAAGGCATCCACAGACATTTTAAAAGTAACGGAACTGGACCCAAAGGTTTATTAATGTCTTTTAGAGGATACATTTAATGTGCTCATTTAACACACTTAATACAAAACTTAATAATAACACACTTAATATATTTTATAACACATATAATACAAAAGCAAAGCAAATAAGTTTACATAATAGAGACTCTGATGATAGCAATAAAACTTCTTTGGACCGTATGTTTTCACACATAATTCCATTCTTTTGACTTTTTTAGCCATCCAACCAGCACACAAAGTTTTAAGCTCTCCAAAAAGCAATTTGCTTTCTGACACTGAAAATTTAATAAAATCTTATATATTCTTTCCTTTTCAGCAATATTTACCACAGCTGTTTTAAACAGTCTCTGCTTTAAACCTGTACGGAACATTCATGCTGCATCCATATAGTCCAACCAGGCTTCCAAATCTAAGCAAATCTTTCCTTTCTGTGTAAAGTGGATATTTGTCACTCACTCAGTGATTTCCATGGACTGTCATTAATGCTGAGGCCACCAAAAAAGCCCACAGGGCTGTGCTTACTTGAGGGAGACAGACCCATGTCTTCCAATGTCAAGTTTCACGCCTGCAATGAAGAAATATCTTTTGCCTTATTGATATGATTTTCTTATATGTTTCTTTCCGTGCACAAATGTCCTCAAGTCAAAACTGCCTTCCTTCCAGATCTCTTTCCTTTTCCTGCTCTCTGGCTAGTATTTCAGTTCACTGCTAAATCACTGATCCAACAATTAACAATGACAATTAATGTGACAATTAATAAGAACAGTAATACCACGCATGCTCTGTTAACTTTGTGCCAAGAACTGTGGTAATGTCTTTATTTATTCATTTAGTTCCCCTATGAAGTAGGCACAATTACTCTAAATTCCAATTTTACAGGTAAGAACACTGACACACAGATCGGGTAGAAAAGGTTGGAGGGGCCGCAGAAGTAGCTGGCACAGGATTCGAACTCTAGCATCTTGGCTGCACAGATCATGCTCGACAACCACGCCCTGCTGCCTCCCCCTTAAGGGCATTTTAAATATATCATTTTTTTTTTTAATCAAGCAAGTAACTATCTTTTTATCCCCCCTGCTAATGAAGAGTAGTGGCTAATGGCACACACGGAATATCTGACCCAGCACTCATCCTTTGTATAAACATTCCTGTTTGTGAAATCAACAAATGTTTCAGAGCTATTTTGAAAGACCCAGAGAATGATTTGAACGAAGATGTGTGTCTTGGCCTATGGGGAAGTTCCCTCCAAACAGGCCCAGCTAAGCAAGCCCTGTGCAGTGCTTTAGGGGGGTTCCAATAACTAGTTTACGTGGGTCTGCAGCTGTGGTCAGGACACACTGAACACATCCTGAGGCTGAGGACTTGTCACACCTTGGGCCCCTACTCTGCACACAGCCCCCACCCGCTCTCTGCCACATCCCAGGGACTATCCAAGGTGCTTGGAGGTAGGAGGCACTGTGGGGGAGTGAAGGCACCATTTCAGTACAGGCTCGTAGAAAATGCCACTTCATGAACTTAAAACCCTTAGTTCAATCATGGGCATTAAAAACATGAAGACTGCCCTTTCTGTAGGGCATAAGTTACTTTGCTTCATGGTCAGCCTCACATTTGCTGAACGAGGATTGAGAAGGAGCACCTGTAGCCGGTTATGGAGGAGGAAGAAACAGGAGGTACATTGCTTTTGAACTCCAGGTTCCACTGGGAGCACATGACCACAGCTCAATGTTTAGTCCTAACCTAGTGACGACTTTCATCTTCAGACCATCAGTAGAATTTTCAGAGAGCTGAATATTTTTAATAGTGCCCTTTGTTAAAAACAGTCTCCTTCACTCCCGGGCCCAGAGCATGGAGAGCTCCTTCTTACGTTTGCCTTTTCTAAAGATCAGGACCGTGAAAGAACAGGCAAGACTTCAGATTCAGCTCCACAAGGCTTGCACATTTTTGCAGGCATCAGGTAAAGAAGATTTTTCCAGAACCTTGAGTTATACGACAGAGGTTTATCAGCGTTCCACTTCAGAACTCTGTGAGATTTCAAAAGCTTTAGTGATTGGGGGAAGAATGTGACGTCACTCACGGGTGTAAATTCAATTAGGATGATTTTAATTTTCCTTTCTACCAGAGCTTCATGGAGTCCACTTTCAAGTTCATACCTGACTTCATTGGACATGTAGCTTTTACTTAGGACAATGATTAGTCTTCTGCTTTTCTCTATCAACGAGTGGATTTCATCAACAACAGCTGAAAATGCAAGATGTGGTCAAGTAATTAAAGAGAACTAAAAGAGCAGACAGGAGATTAAAACCACTTTGCAGAGTCTAATTTTGTATTATTTAACTCTACTTAACTAGTAAGTTTTTCAAGACAGACCATTTATTCTTAATTTCATACACCTTTTGAAAACAATCATCTAGATAACAACAATAATGAACTTGGCACTACTCTATGCCACACCCTCTTCTAAATGTTTTATGTATATCAACTCATTAAAGCATCATAATGACCCTATGAAGAAAGTAATGTCATCACCACCATTTTACAGATGAGGAGGGCAAAGTACAGAGTGGTTAAGAAACTTGCCTAGAGTTACACAGCTCGTAAATGGCAGAATGAGAACCAGAACCTGGGGGTCTAGTTCTGGAGCACCTGTTCCTAACCATCATGCTGTCTTGCTTGCCTCTCCACAGGCAGGGAGGAGCACACTAAAATCCAAATTTAAAGATATCTATCTATCTATCTATCTATCTCCATCTATCCCACCATTAGTCCAGACCAGAAGTTGACAGACAGTGAATGTTCCAGGCTTTGCAGGCCATACTATCTTTGTCACCCTGCTCATCTCTGCTCTGTAGCTCAAAGGCAGCCACAGACAACACATGAACAAATGTCACCTCGCTGTGTTTCAACAAGGGTGACAGACTGGATCTGACCCATTGGTGATAGATGGCCAATTTCTGGTCTAGACCTCTACCCTTTCTCAAATAGAGGTTTTAATCCAAACTACTTACAATTAAATACACATCATCCTTTATTTTTATTTAAGAACAAGGAGAAATCTATTTAATTAATTAATTTGTTAAAAAGTAATATACTTTTTCCTTCTAACTGGTAGTATTTTCCCTTTCTCGTTTGTAAGCTGGATGGGTAGGGGGGAACTACAATTATTCCTTATTTCCTGCTATGTCTTCAATGCCAAGCTCAGATTTCAGCACAAGGCTGGCACTCAGTATATGTTGGATGAATGGATGATAGTGACAGTGAAAACATTTATACTGCGTCCTTGGTAACACACCAGCCCCCAAAATATTTTGACGTAGATTTCAGATATTTGCTCTGGAAGACTTCAGAGAAAATATATGGAAATGTTACTAAATTTCTTGGCTTCGAACTGGAATTTGCTTCAATACATGTTTTAGGGTCGTTTATATTCATCTACTAATAAAAAAACTGAATTTCATGACTAAAATCCGATGTGAATCCCCAATCTCCTTTTATTTACCTTTTTCTGACTGTAGTTTTCACACCAGTGTCAACCCAATAAAGAACAAGTATTTTCTGGTAAGAATGAACTGTGTTTATATTGCAGAGAATCATGTCCTGCTGTATAAAACATTACCAAAAGAGAGATTCTGACGGTGGCGCCTTTCTAGATAAATGCCCCATGACAATGCCAATTCTGGGCCTGGTTCTGAAAGTGGAATGCCCTTTCCCCAAAGGTTCAGAGAAGTGGGAAGCACATTGAAGAGCCTGGGACCCAAAGAGGTTACTCCCAGAAGTAGTCTTGTTAGCTTTTTTCTCACTATTGATTATATTGATTTAGCTGGTTATTTCTGGTTTAGAGGATCATGTTCATTTGTTTTTAAGCAAAACAGGATTGTCTTTTGTAAGGCTAAATTATTCATCTTTTAAAAGGAAAATCTCTTCACCAGTTCTTTATCTTCCCTTTCTTACCTCCTCCAGGCACCACATCCCTTTCATATATGCATAATTTATACCCAAAGTGCTTCTCCAACACCTTGGGCAAAATCTCCACAGCGAAGGTGTGCTCCTCTCCATTCTCGGGTCCGCATTCTTTCAGGTAAGACACAAAAGCATCGTATGTTTTCCCATCTAAAAAATAAGGTTTTCTCTTTTAATTACAGTGCAAATAAAAGTCTAAGTATAAATTTGAGTGAAAGTCATGAAAATGGGAGTGGAACCATTGAAAAAGAAAAATTAAATAAAGCATCTTTCTCTCCAAATGCATCAAATTGTACACATTAAGTATGTGCTGCTCCTTGTATATTGATTGGAGCTCAATGAAGCCATTTTAAAAAAGAATAAAGAAGACATTTTTGCTAGAACACAAATTAAAAATTAGAGCAAGAATGTTTAAACTACGTAACTTATAAGGTCCATCAAATGTATTTTGGTTCTAGGATTCTTTTTAGACATTATTCTTTATCTAAGACTTTTTAAGTTGTCAAAAAAAGACAAATTCATTATTAAAGACAAACAAAAAAAGACATAAATTCATTATTATTCACCAATTCTCATATGTTGGTTGCTAATCAAGCAACCAACTAGCAAACTGCTTTTTAAGCATGTACATTAAGAGCCCTCCCGCCTCCCCTTGTTTGACACTATGGAGGAATGGAGAGAAATAGTAGATCCAGGAACTCAAGGAATTTAAAGGCAATAAAAAGCCAAGGAGACCAAATATGTCCTCAGTCTAGAATTGGAAAGCAAATCTCAGCTTGGCTTTCTCGTATCACCTAACTCTGCCAGCATCCTCATATGTCTACACTCAAAACGACTCACCGGAAAGCCAAGGCAGAAATAAAGCTGAGAGTTTACACTGGTGAGTGAGAAGAGACAATAGAGGTGATTTAACAGAAGACCATGGGGGAAGAGAAGGGGAAAAAACAGTTACAAACAGAGAGGGAGGGAGGCAAACCCGTAAGAGATTCTTAAATACAGAGAACAAACTGAGGGTTGGTGGGGGTATGGAGAGGGGAAAGTGGGTGATGGGCATTGAGGAGGGCACTTGCTGGGCTGAGCACTGGGTGTTGTAGATAAGTGATGAATCACGAGAATCTACTCCCCAAACCAAGAGAATACCGTATACACTGTATGTCAGCCAATTTGACAATACATTATATTAAAAAAAAAAAAAAAAAAAAAAAACTACGCTACGGGAACACATGCTGTGATATTTAAAAATATATGGTACTAGATGCCAGTATGAAAACTTCCCGGCTGCTGAAAGGTTTTCACTGATAATAACATCTGCTCCTATTTAATTCCAGATAATGAAGCACATTCAGGAGGCTAAGGCAACAAAACCAAGATGAAAGTGTTACCTAAGTAACAAGGACCATTGTACTAATTGGGTAACTACAAAATTACATACATCTCTGTCTCTTCTACCTTCATCCAACGTATCTGGGAAGACAAAGCAGACAAATGCAACAAGTTGAAAAAGTTTACAAAGAACACTTTGGCAGAGTCGAGACAGTGTAATAAAACAAGCAAAACAAACAGAATCAAGCAATCAGACACTACGGAGTGATCTCCAGGGGACACGCTTTCTGCGAAAAGGAGATTTGAGCCAGGTCCTAAAGGGTACAATTGACGCTAACTGAAATTGGTAGAAGGGAAAGTGGGAGGGGCATGGTCTAGCCTATCTCCCCGGAGTTAGATGCATGCTTGCCTGTATTATTGGGATTATGTACTTCCTACTGAGTTGAAAGCTAAATATTATTGGATCTTTTATTAAAATCTAACAGGGTGAAACCATTCCAGGTTCATGGTCTTTGTGGTGTCACATCATGCATGCTCAACAATTCAGCCCATTACCTTCAATGGTTCAGAAAACACTTTCTATTTCTGGCAAAGCTTCTTCAATTTTACCTACAGTTCAGGTTGAGCAGTTCAGGTCGGAGCCTACTGTTGATTTAAAGCAACTGCTTTGGAGAATTGCATGCATACAAAAGAAAGGACGGGGTGCCTGGGTGGCTCCGTGGGTTAGGCATCTGACTTTGGCCCTGATCATGATCTCACGGGTTGAGTTTGAGCCCCTGTGCTGATGGCACTTTGGATTATCTCTCTCCTCGCCCTCTGTCCCTCCCCCGCTAGCTCTTTTTATCTCAAAATAAATAAATAACTTAAAAACATTTTAAAAGATGTTTTGGTAAAAACTGTAGAATTAACATGCATATCGAAGGTAGGACAAGCTGGGTATATAAACAAAGAGCCAGTTCCTAGTTTAATCACTAAGTGGGTCCCTCACATAATTCTGTTAGATTGCTGTGAAATACAGCTATTTATTAGTGTAAAAGCTAGTGCTTCCATTAGTACTCATTATGTCAATGATTAGAGCAGGCACCGAGGAGTAAGAAATAAATAAGCACACTGTTTTTAAAAGGTACATTTTTTGGGGGCGCCTGGGTGGCTTAGTCGGTTAAGCGTCCGACTTTCGCTTAGGTCATGATCTCACAGTTCATGGGTTTGAGCCCCGCGTCGGGCTCTGTGCTGACTGCCAGCTCAGAGCCTGGAGCCTATTTCAGAGTCTGGAGCCTATTTCAGTCTGTATCTCCCTCTCTCTCTGACCCTCCCCTGCTCACGCTGTCTCTCTCTCTCTCTCTCCTAGAAATAAATAAAAATATTTAAAAAAAAATAAAAGGTACATTTTTTTTTGTATCATGATGTAACTAATTGCGATAAACCGGGAAGACAATACAGGCAAATTTGTACTGTAATATACAAGTTATATAGCTTTACTCTTACCCATAAAAAATTGGGTAATTAAAAAATGATTAATTTTCAAATGCTTTATTTCAAGCCATTCTCTTCTTGGTTTAGCAAATCTTGTAATTTATATTATAATTGATTTTAAACCCAGGTAACGAATGGCTTGCTGGCTTTGATAACATAGTAAAGTGCTTAAGATAAGGTACTTGAAAGCTAATAGTAATTATTTTGGGTTCTGTATAAATGAAGCCCTCACGTGAATGGGCACTTGGAACTTTCAGGAATCAGGCCAGTGCTTCTCAAACTGTGTTCAGCAAATGACAATGTTTTCATTTAATTTGACTGGTTTGGGTTGATTGGTTTCATTTCGAATCCTTCATAAACCAATACTGAAAACATTCCTGGATATTGCAGCAATATCAGTTTGCTATGAATGTTTTAATTTTTTGCACGTCTATCTCTATTTCTGCCTTTTCCACAACCGATGTGTGTCACGGACCACACTTTTAAATATAGCAGATGCAGAGCACATCTGTAAACGTTTCCGTGCACTGCTGCATTGGGAGGTAGGAAGTGTGAACTAGAACAATTGTGAATTGGGTCAAACACAACAAAGAGGGGAAAAAATTCTTAACTGAAGATCAGAAAGATAGATATCAGTGAATGCTCATTTTGAGGTACATTCTGGTCAACGCAAGGAGAGACCTGCTCATAAGATGCCAAAAAGAGACCTCTCAGTTGCTTGTAGCATTTCTCTCCATCCCCAAAATTGCACACACACACACAGAGGTTCAAAGCTAAATTGATTGGCTCTGTTAATTTTAGATTATTTTTTTTATAAAATAAAAGAGAGAGAGAGAAGGAGAGAGAGAACCTAAGCTGGCTCTGTACCGTTAGCACAGAGCCCAACGTGGGACTCCATCTCACAAACTGTGAGATCACGAACTAAGCTGAGATCAAGAGTCAGATGCTTAACCGACTAAGCCACCCAGGTGCCCCTGATTTTATACTATTAATTAAAAGTTGCAAATGTGAAAAATCTGAGACTTCCTTCGTAACTTGAGGTTAGGAGGGTTTTACTACTTCTGACCACAAATCTAGATTTAAAAAGTCCCTAATAGTAAAAATGTACACCAGAAACTAATAGAACCTTGTGTTAATTATACCTCAAGAAAAATTAAAAAATCTTCCACATATCATACTATAAGCAAAGTCAAAAGACAAATCTAGGACTGGTATTTTCATTTCATATTATAAACAATAGGCTAGCCTCCTTAAAATAGAAATAGCTCCTAGACATAAACAAGAAAAGGAAAGGGCAATAGAAAAAGGGCAAAGGGTATGAATGAGTACTTTGAGAAAGGAAATACAAATGAGTCTTACACAAATCAAAAGTGACTCTGACACAGTAAGTGAAATGGCAAATGGAAGCTACACAGAGATACAACAATTTACCTATCAGATTGGCACATATCCAAAAGGTTTTAGGGAAGGCCATGGGGAAAAAGTGACTCCATTCTTTGAAGGTGGGGGTAGAAGAGCGGTAGGGAGGGTACATTAGCAATATCTGTCAAAGTAACAATTGCCTCTAATCTTCGTATTGCCGGCAGTTCCTCTTTAGAGAATCTTTCCTTCAGCTATACTGCACACGGTTGAACCAATGACTGTACAAAACTATCCATCACATCATTTCTGTATTAACACACTGTTGTGAATAACCCGCAAGATGACCAAATAGACAGTGAGACATCTGCAGAAATAAAACACCGTAGAAGCCGAACATATGAGAGACTTTACAAACTCCTATAGAAGAGTATCCAAGGCATATTAAAGCAAAGTTCAAAATAGCGTACATATGGGGCGCCTGGGTGGCTTAGTCGGTTAAGCGTCCGACTTTCGCTTAGGTCATGATCTCGCGGTTCGTGGGTTCGGGCCCCGCGTCGGGCTCTGTGCTGACTGCCAGCTCAGAGCCTGGAGCCTGTTTCAGTCTGTGACTCCCTCTCTCTCTGACCCTCCCCTGCTCACGCTGTCTCTCTCTCTCTCTCTCTCTCCTAGAAATAAATAAAACATTAAAAAAAAATTTTAAAAAAAATAGCGTACGTAATATGCCAAAGTTTGTTTTTAAAACAGGGGTGGAAGTCGATTCTATATTCTTATTTGTTCAGCTATACTATCAATGGCGGATGAAGTGGGAAAAACAGACATAGGACAGGGTGACAGGGAGATATTCCACTGTACCATTTCTTACACTTTTTGTGCTTTGAACTATGTGTTTCCTACACACACACACACACACAGGTGCAATGGGGTAGGCTGATGTTTTAAAATTTAGTAACCATCTTTTATTTAATTGAAGTATACATAATTCAGTAACTATCTTGAAACTTGAGGACTTCTTTGAATCACTTTTAAAAACAGAGAAACCAAGACACCGATTTGCTACACAGAAAGGGCCATAGATAAAAACTGGCAGATCTAGGAAACTAGAACCTGGGTCATTCGCCTTCGAGTCCAGGGTTCTTGTAGGCAAGAACAGGCAGCCTCTTTTCTCAGGTTAAAATAATGACTATAATGCAATTCAATTCCATTTAAATGAGGTTTATTGAATGTGCATCAGATGCTCAGATCATGTGTGAATAACGACAGCTTGTGGGCACAAACCTCTCACAGGCCATGAAGGAGGACGTGACATACATGCATCAAACAATTAGAGAATAATTTCTGGCAACATATGAGCAAGCACAAAAAAAGGTGATACAAGACAACATTTGTGAGGGATGCTATGTTCAAATCAATTTTTCCTATGGAAAACTACCGCACATGAAGACTACAATGTAATCAAAATGAAATGAAGATTAATGTCTCTTTATTTGGTTTCTTTAAAAAATTTGTTTTAATGTTTATTCATTTTTGAAAGAGAGAGCATGAGCGGAGAAGAGAGAAAGGGAGACACAGAATCTGAAGCAGGCTCCACGCTCTAAGCTATCAGCACAGAGCTCGACGTGGGGCTCAAACCCATGAACTGTGAGATCATGACCTGAGCCAAAGTCAGACGATTAACCAATTGAGTCACCCAGATGCCCCTCTTTATTTGGCTTCTTAATGAGGCAAGAAGATAAGAAATTCCAGCATTATGATATTCATTACCTGTTAACGTTTCATCTTTCCTCATGAGATGTCTATAAAATAGAGCCAAGTCAACTCTATAAATGACACCTATTATCACTAGGCACACAACTACCAACGAGACCAAAACAGCCACAATCATTCCTCTGGTGAAGACGTAGCCTGGAATGTCAGCCATATCTTCTAGAAATAAAAAGAAAATAGAAACCATTAATGAAAGCTGGTATACCAGTGTCTCCCACCATCACACCTCACAGTCATCAGTTTTTATATTTAGCACTAATCCCGGTTGTCTGTCTAACTCATTCTGTTAACTTAGTCCACATTCCTGCCTTTAGTCTGGAGTACTGACCTTTCTACCAAAATTCTTCCAATTTTGAAAGAATAAAAATACGTAAAAGGAAATTCAGAGACCTGAACTGAAAGCACTGTGATAGAGCGTATCCCTACTCGGGGAAGGCAAGGATGATAAGACACTAGGGTGGGGGCGCCTGGGTGGCTCAGTCAGTTAAGCGTCCAACTTCGGCTCAGGTCATGATCTCACCGTTCGTGGGTTCGAGCCCCACGTCGGGCTCTGTGTTGACAGCTAGCTCAGAGCCTGGAGCCAGTTTCAGATTCTGTATCTCCCTCTCTCTGACCCTCACCTGCTCATGCCCTCTCTCTCTCTCTCTCTCTCTCTCTTTAAAAAAAAAAAAAGACACCAAGGTGAAATGCACAGGGACCCAAACACATATCTCAGCTGGTATGTTGAGAGCATAAGTGGAAGTGTACGGTCTTGAGAGAGCTAGTGCTTAACCGAGCTTGTGTGGGCTCCCAGCCTAGCTCCATCACTTAGTTTGCGTCCTACAGAAAGTCACAGATTCCCTTCACTCTTAGCATCTTCATCCATAATATGAACCCATTTCTGAGCAGCTAAGGGGCCAATGGCCCTGGGTTGTATTGTATTGGTGGTGGATGGAGGGGGGTGACTCTGGAATGTTCCATCAGGTAGGCAGGGGAAAATTTTAGGCATCCACAGATCGGAGCCATCAACTGTCCACCTTCCAGATCCAAGGACTGGTCCCAGAAAGGGAAGCCCCAGTTAATCCTGGTTGAATGAATGACCACACGCAAGGGCCCCCTGTGTCCAGTGAGCAGCTAGGGTACGCTGGAGGCCGCAGTACAACTAGTATCACCGGCCTCACCCTACACCGAGCTGCAAGCGTGCCTCCCTTCATTATGGATGTGTGAGAGCTGCCCTGACTGCCTTCCTCATGACACTCATCTACATAGCTCTGTCTCCAGGCTTCATCTGCCCCACTCTCTTGGGCCCCTGGTGCTTATCTAGGACTGCAGTTTGATTGGAAGCAAAGGATCAGAGTTTGTGGTTTCATTTTCTGCACGAAATCAACGTGCAGGGGACTCCAGCAGAGGACTGATTCCCTGTTTAGCCTGAATGCCTATGACACAAGGCGGACAATTTCACCTCTCCGGAGCCTGCTTCCTGGGGTATAAAATGGGTGGAGTGGTGATCTCTGAGGGGTCCTCAGCAGCAACTTTCTAAGCTGCCACAAACGTCCAAAATAAAACTTCCTCGTACCTTTTTTCAACAAGACAAAGTTCACGGTGTCTGTGCCTGCCTCACTGGCCACAGTGCAATTATATGAAAATTGTAGATTTTTCTCATTAATATTCTTAATTCTCAACATTCTTGACACGTACAATTTGCCTTCCGGAGTCCTATAAAAGAGGAAATAGTTCAGTGACAGGCTTTATTCATTGCCAGCAACATTACCCATGAGAGAGGAATTCACATGTGCAAATACTCAAAGGCAGTGGCTATTTGGCTCTGTGGAACCTCCCCTTTTGGTGGGTCCTCAGAGTGTGGGTTACCACGAACCTCTGCTCCCCCGGAGAGTATCAGAGTGGCCACAAGCAGCCGTCTTGAGGCCACCGGGGGACGATCCTGTGAACCGCCCAGAGTGAAAATGTCTGGAAGGTAACGATGCTAAGTTGGAAACACAAGACACTGTTGTCTCTCAGTGCTTTTCCCCCATTTCTCCTCTCCCAATGACTTAGTGTTCCTCCCATGGGGAGGTCTCCACCGACTGTGACAAAGCTGCAAATAATTCAGCAGAGATACAGATTCCTACCAAGCTTGTCCATGCAGTCCTGAAGATCACTTTCATTTTGTTCGGCATCGAAAACAAACTTAAGAATGACACTATTGTCAAATGCACCTGCAGGCATATGAGAAATACCAACTAAGCTGCTCAGCAAGTGTCAGAGAACAGACGACATAGACGACCGTTAGCAGCAAGCTATCTTTCTCTTGTTAAAAGATTCGAGTTGTCCTGTCGTTGATGCAAGGCAACATCTGCTTCCGCGCCACTGACAGGCTGTGAAAGGACCATGTCAGTCAGCACTCCCCAGGTGCGCTCACTCATCTGCCACGCCCCTAGCAGCAGGTGTCTCTATATTTGGGACACGGCACCCTCTGCAGCCTCCAACCATGTCAAACACATTTTAGAACATAATTCTGTAGGGGCGCCTGGGTGGCTTAGTCGGTTAAGCATCCGACTTTCGCTTAGATCATGATCTCGAGGTTGGTGGGTTCGAGCCCCGTGTCGGGCTCTGTGCTGACTGCCAGCTCAGAGCCTGGAGCCTGTTTCAGTCTGTGACTCCCTCTCTCTCTGACCCTCCCCTGCTCACGCTGTCTCTCTCTCTCCTAGAAATAAATAAAACATTAAAAAAAAATTTTTTTTAAAGTTTAATAAAAAAAAAAAGAACATAATTCTGTAAAGAAGTCACCATTCCAGAAATGGCAAGTATCTCACATCAATGAAAGATCCCGAAGTAAGGCATAAAAGGCCAGTGAGAAGCCAAGACAGATGTTAGAAAAAGCACATGCACCTAATTGTAAAGAAAGACCGCCCTATTCTCTTAGCTTAGCTTAAGCGCCATTGCAGATAGTTTGGCGAGTTGGTCTTCTACCCCTCCAAAGATGAGCGATAGATCACTAGAAGGGGGACATGCAGAGCCCCAGGGAAGGTCCGATGCTAAGAATAAGACACCATGGCCGGACCGCCCTGCAATTCAACTGAGCCACCATTCACGTGCCTGCTACAAGGCAAAGTGACAGACCTTGCACCATAAGGAGCTTGCAGACAAGTGTTAGCAAGATTCAAGAGCTGTTAGCATGACATCAAAGAATTTTTTTAAGTGTAAAAAGCAGAAAAGATCCTCGAAAGTGCAGCTAAGGTAACAGACACCTTGAGATCCCTACTCACTAAAACCTGAGTATATCAGTACCTTACTAATTAGAATAAAGACCCAAAGTCATTCAAAAACACTCCAACAACCACAGGCTTAGCATGTTCTGTTTTAATAAGTGTGACCATTCCTTCCTACGGAAGAACATAGGCTACGTAAGTATTAATACACATGTAATTTGGAACATTTTGCCCCAAAGCTGCCTCCTAGATATTTATACCGAACCAGTGCCCTCTTCGGTTTTAAATTATTTTACGTGTTCTTATTGTGTTTCTAATTTCCATTACTAAACTCTTGACAGCAAAATTGCTGCAATAATTACTATGTCCAATATCAATCTGCCAACAATGAATGTCACCGGGTAGGCAACTGGTAAATCGGTACTTCCGTGAGACAACCTGCAACTGACAACCTTGGGAGACTTGTCCATGTTGATAAATTTCCTTAATGCTTACTTTTAAGAAAGATAATCACAGGAATGAAGGTTCTAAAAAGAAGCTACAAACTATCTCTAAGGCACAGGAGGCAATGTCTCTGTCAGTGTATCTCATACCTATCAAAGCAGTCCCCCCCACCCCCCCGGCCCCAGAACTGTTTTCAAATGACTATTTCCTTCTTTGTGATTTTCAGGATTTATCCAGTTTCTGATAATGAATTATTTTTGGACGATAAGAAAAATAGAAGGTATCCATGTGTAAGTAAAGGAAGGGATGTAGATCTGGAGACGTAGTAGTAGATGGCCTGCCTTTGGCATTGGCTGCATCCAGAAAAGATACTTGCAAGGAAAGATACTCTGCACCCTACCAACTCCCACCCGATCTGGCGGTGATGTGTGGCCTTTGCAGACAAGCATGCCTACTGCACACAAGGCGTCCAAAGTAACTCACGCATATCTCAGTCTCCTGACATTGTCTTTGCTCTGGCACTTTAGTGAAAATAAGGAACTGAGCACAATTTTCAAAATCTTAAGTAAAATCTCCATCCCCATCAGATCCTGAATGGCCAAAAGCTACCTTTTGTCAGGTGATGCTAAAAAACGTCACTGACCTTCTTTTTCTAGTTTAGATCTTGACACTAGATTTCTGCATAATCCATCAGCCTAAAGAATGGTAATTATCATTATAAAATACGTAAATTATAAATTAAAATTTAAGCTTATCTCAAACCCCCAATCAGCCATTCAGGACTCTGGTGTGTTTCATATCATGGATCTATGACACAACGCAATTTGTATATATCATGATACATAATACATCACATATACATACCTAATTTTTGTTACGTTCTTTTCATGTACATTGGGCTCCTTTCCATTTTCGTCCCACAAGTTCCAATAAATCGGATCCCTTTCATTCGCCAAAGCAGAGCAATTGAGTTCTACATCTTTTCCTACAACGAATGTTCTGATCTTAGAGATTCAGGTTTCCCAAAGGGGTAGAATTACTATAATCAATATATGTTAACCCAATACATAAAGCTAATGAAGTGCTACATTCCAGAAAGAAAGAGATCAGCCTTTTTAAACATTTTTAACATTAATTTAAAATGTTTAAATATGTATAAAGCAGAGAAATTGGGTAGCAGTTTTAAGCCATCAACAGAATATGAACTGGTTTCTCTTCAAATGTTTATGTTCAAATAAGTTATTGAAACTTAGAGTGGCCAGTGGGCCTTCTTTTCAACATACAGTTTAGTAGGTAGGGCTAACACTCCCATGGCAACTTCTAGAAAAACAAAAAGGATAAATCACATAAAAAAAATGGAATTAGCTAACAATTAAAGACATCAAAGTGCAGTGAAAACAAAGAGAAACAGTTGAGCTGAAAATGCAATCAGGAGAAGCACTTCTAGGGGGAGCTGAGATGTTATTCTTTGGAGAAGTTGGTTTGGGTTTGTACAGCACAAGTGAAGTCTCCTAGAGAAAAGAAAGCCCAGGGGAAATTCTCACAGGCTTGCAGAATTATTGCTGAAGGCTTAGGCAACAGAGGAGACCACAAAGGCTAAAGGGCCTCTCCTACAGTCTCGAGGTTCTTAGGAGAGAAAGTCCCACTTCAGGGAAAAGGTGTCTAACAAATAATGAACGAAGTCCCTGTATGCCCCATCCCCCGTCCCCACCCCCTAACCTCACTGCAAGAAATACCAAAGGAAAGGTTTCAGACTCACAAAAAATTATCCCAGATGAAAGCAAGGCACTACATGAGCAAATGAAGAGCACAAGAAAATACAAACAGTTCAGTAAATATAAAAGAATTTCGGTTACTTAAAGCAATAACAGTGCCGATCTACCGTGAGTTTTATCACATATGCAGTAGAGAAATATGTAAAATAATGGCACAAAGTGAGGTAAGAAGACAAAGGAAATTAACTGTGGCAAGGTTCTCTCATGTTGTGAAGTTATAAATGTCCTGAAATGCCCCTTTGATTTCCTGTACTAAGACAAAGATACATACTGTAATCTCTAGAATGACTTAGCGAAGGGTACAGAAAGGTATAACTAGAAAGAAAACAAAGAATATTAAATAAAAGGAAGAAAAAAATACTTTATGAATCCAAAAGGAAGTGAGGAATAACAGGAACAAGTAACAATAAGGCAACTAACAAACAAGTGACAAGATAAGATGCTTCATACCTTCATATCTTATCTTCATACAAGATAAGATACATCATTAAATGTAAATGGACTAAGGGGCTCTGGGATTGCTCAGTTGGTTAGGCATATGGCTCAGGTCATGATCTCACAGTTCGTGGGCTCAAGTCCCGTATCAGGCTCTGTGCTGACAGCTCAGAGCCTGGAGCCTGCTTCAGGTTCTGTGTCTCCTTCTCTCTTTGGACCCTCCCTGCTCAGTCTTGCTCTTTCTCTCTCTCTCTCAAAAATAAATAAACATTTGAAATAATGTATTTCAATCACCTAATACAAAACATGATTTAGCATATGTGAATTTCTTCTTTTCCTTCCTTCCTTTCCTTATGGAAAGGAATTACTCAACTGGACATGTTAATTTCATCAAGGCCTGTCTAGATGGTCAATTAAGGCCACTGATTCAAAGTTCATTGATTCATCAGTCAAATATTCAGAACACAGGATAAGTCTGAATCATTTCTCCAGAGTGTTCTCTCACAGGGTTTTTGTCTCTAAGAATGACCATAAAGACTATTAGAGAAAAGTCACAATGGGGCAACCAAAACCCTATGTAAAAACCATGGATAGTTCTATGTTTTCAACATACTGTTCATTTTCAACAGCCTAAAAATGGCAACATTTGAACAATGGCATACTTTCCTTGCTTTTGTAACTTCCTTCACTAAACCTGGCATGTGTTATGTACACACAATATTGATCAATCATGAATCACATTTGGCCTTGGAAGACTCAATTATGCACCCTGTTCATAAATGTGGAATACATGAATGTCAACATATACCTAATTCCACCTTCACACGGTTAATCTTTGGTCCAAGAAGAACAGGAATTATTTTACTGCGATCTAAAAGTGAAAAAAAAAAGAAAAGAAAAATGTTTCAGCCTTGCCCCGAGCTTCTCTAAGACAAGTATTTGCTGTAATATGCTTACACTATGTAACAAAGATTCTAACTAGTCATCCCTATGTTATATTTTCAGTAAGTAATGGTTGCAACTAATATTGTTTGTTTCACTCTCCATCAATGTGAAGCTAATATAACTGGAGGAAACGCACTAAATTTGGTTTCCCTCAGCTTCTGCTGCTCTATGACAGAGGAAAATGTCCATCCAGGAGAGACAACCACATCCGTAGGGTTTAGATGCAAAGTCACTGGGAAGTGCGTTTCTGCTCCGCCTGTATTCCTTCTGTCTGTCCTTCTCAACTCCTGGAAGACAGATTTATTGGCCACAGGGTCTCTATCCGCGCTGTAGGCAAGGCACTCTCTCAGATGCCGACCCTCCCCTTGCGGACACTGAGGGCAACACAGCTTCAGTTCTCTGCTCTCGCTGAGTCTCTTGCCTCACCTTAGTCCTGGCCCTGCAAGGTGTCCACAGGCGTGGGCTCAGCTCTCCTTCTGTTCCGGAGTGGCTTCTGACCTTGACCAGAGGCACATAATACTCTCCGCCTCCGCCTCCCTGCAGTAACACTTTGAAAGGAAATAATGCCCCTAGCAGCCTCCCACTGAATGCTTTCATACAGCCCAGGACAGCGATAACTGCAGATCCTTGAGAGCCCCTGCGGTCCTATGTTGAAATTGCTATGTTGTCAAGTTCTCGTTACTCTTCTGGTCGGCACTGGCGACTTTCTCCATGACCTAGACTTGCCCTTCTAGTACATCTGGCACTCCTGGGGCACATACAAGTAACGTCCAGAGCAGCCTTCCTGGGGCTTACCGGTGCTCAGCAAACTCAATGCCTGAGCCCAGGGAGTAAAAGGTGACTCAAGAGCTATCCTGCAGCACTGTCACCTACCTAAGCTCTCTCAGGAAGTGTAATGCTGCAGAGCGAAGGGTCGAGACGGGAGGGGTGACTGTGTGGGTAAGAAGTGGAGGATGAAACCCACAAAGTGCAAGCCCTGGTGAGTCAGATTTGGTTCCTCTGGGATTCAGAGTCTCTGGGCAAGCCTGGAATGGATGTAAGTGGGCAGCGTGACCGGGGATGCTTCCAGAGAAAGAAGGAACTCTCAGGCCTTGAGAGTATGGAGGAACATGAACTGATTCAAGGACGAAGGGGCAAGAGGCGGTTTTGCTGAAAATTGCTATTGCTTCTCTTTCTCTGGATCCATCACCCCTGCCCCCGCCCCCGCCGCCAGTAATGTCAGTGGGAGCCCTGGGAAGAGGTGCTGTAAAAGGATATCTTTAGGACAGGACAGCTTTAAGACAGTATGCCATCTACTAAAACTCAATACACATCATTGGAAACCCCGAGTCCCCTGTCCCCAGCGTGTCTTCCTCTCCATCCGTCATGTCCCACCTCTAGACTTAGCTCAGAGTCCCCTGACTCTGATCTTCTTCTGGGCTCCTTCTGCATCCTAACGTCACACAGATGTGTCTGGTTTCATACACCAGGTACTTCTATGTGGCTTATCACCTCTCCTGACTATGATCAAATCCCTCGACAATAGTATATAAGTCACCTCATTGCCTAGTTCCCTGCTTCCTTTACCCCTCAGTACTCAGATGCTCAGTACAGTTTATTGAATACAGTCACCCTCAAAAAATACCTTTTGAGTGAAGGCATACACTGAACAACAAAACATTCCACAAATAACTCAAATACAAAATAAGAGTGAGACATTCTCCTATATAAAGGTCATTTGCTATCCACCCCCACAATCACCAATCTCTCTAGTGTGGTGAATGATGCTCAAATTATTTGACCTTTCTATTTGAGCTAGTGATGTGGTCACAACTCGAAATAAGTTGTCTCTGGATTCCTGTTCTGGGTTAGAAGAAAGAAAACTCTGTTTTATAAGATATGCTTGTTTCTTACCAATTCTAAAGTTTCTCTTACCTCCAACAATGGTGATATTGATGGTTTTGGTGACATTAAACAGTTTTCCATTATGAGGGATGAAAAACACACAGGTGTAATATCCCTGATCTTTAAACTCTGCATTCTTCTGTAAAACTGGGCTTTTACCATCCTTTATCTTTTTACAGTCCTGTTTTGTAAAAAAGAAAAAAAAAGCAAGTTAAAATATTTTAAGTAAAAGCAGTATCATATTACAATATTACACTGATTCAAATTTTTAAAATATTTTTGTAGAAAAAGGGAAACAGGATGAAAAGTAGCAATTTCTGAGTCGATGTCCCAGTGATTTGGTACTGCCTATGCAAAAACAATGAAACACAGTTCCATTACTGTTATTATTACTGTTATTAATACATGCTAGGAAGTAGAATATAGGAGGAGCTATAGCTGCTTCCATCATCTTCTTTTGACCTCTCTCTTTTACACACAAAAGAGGGGAAAGGGTAAAGAGAAAGGGAGAGGAAGAATGGAGGAAGGAGTTGAAGGATGGATGACAAGGAGAAAAAGAGATTGAACCCTACAACAACAACATTTCATGCTTGGGTGAAAACTTTTTGCACAACTCTATTTCATAACACTTTTAATCTAATTTCATGTACTCAGGAACACCAGGGCAGAGGTAGTGGAGGTAGGAGCAGAATTACTCAGAGACCTGAGTAACTAGCTGACTACCTAACCCCTTGATGTCCTTCGCCAGAAGACAGTGGACTGGTCAGAAATTTATCAAGAATATTCAAATATGTAGGCACACACAAACATGTCTCTCCATCACAAATTTCTATATGGTCACAGGAATGAATGAAGAAAAGCAAAAAAACCCAAAAACCTACCTTCTCCAATCCAGCCATTGGTCACCTATAGAAGAGGTTCTGAAGCAATCTAAGGTCCAGACATGAAGAATAGGAACTAAATTGCTAAACTTGACAATGTGATGCTGTACCTGTAAGCACCAAACAAGAAGAACATACTGCCCACATACCTCTCTTGAACCTGCCAAAGCTGGCAGCAAGGGACCCCTGCTAAAGCTGGGGCAGGCCTAGGGGTTGCTCGAAATGGGTTGGTGAAGCACCCACATGTATCCCTCAACTAAGTAAATTGTCTGTGTATGTCAAAGTTTTATAAAGCCAAACTTTTTTTTGAAGGCACGTTAAAATGTCAATGAGTCTTCATTTTTATTCCAATCAGTGGCTTACTGATTTACCTTCCTTGCTCTCCTCCCATCAGGTAAGCCAGGATCAATAGACTGAGAATACTGAAGCAGTTAATCATCTAGCTAAAAGCCTCCTTGATAGATCTCTTTTCTACATTTAAATATCCACATGTTGACATTTCTTAAAACCTAGTACAGGGAACCTCACAAATTTAAATGTATTGCCAAGTATTTGCACACTGGACAGGAAATAGAATCAAGTGAACTCAGGACTAACTCAGACATTTAGAAAACATGTAGATAAGAGCTCTCCTTGAAAACTCACAAGTGGTCAAACAAAAGATGCCAACAAAAGTTTCTAGGAAATCATCTATAGCTTCAACTTTACAAAGGACTTCTGTCTGGATCATTCTCCATACAGCCCATTAAAACTTCCACGACAGAGTCACATTTGTTCTTCTATAGAAATAATATTGTCAGGTATGTTCTTCTATAGAAATAATATAACTTGTGTTATGTGGCTGCATGTATGTATATTATGCATGCAAATATTATATATGTGCAGACTGTACATCTATATGTAACCTGTATGTTGACGTATATATAATATCCACAGTACTGTCTAAAAGAGCTCTTACCATTCAAGTTAAAGGTATACCAGCTGAAGAACATAGGCAATCCACAAAAGAAGCAATACTGAGATGCAATAAATATATAAAAATGTTTAAGTTATTATTAAGAAAAGAAATGGAGAAAAAACTACTAGAAATTACAGAAATTTTTCATGCCAGATTTCTAAATGTCTAAAAGTATGACTTCTTGGTGTGGTAGTGGTGGTTGAAAAGAGGGTTTTGAACTCCCCAAGAGGAGTCAGCTACTGTGGAGCAAAAGCCATAAATGTGCTTATGGCCTTTGATCCAATAATCCTACTTTTAGGGAATGATTAAAAAATAAAATTATACACACACTAAGAGTTACAGGAATGATATTTATTTTAGCCTTATGAAGAATAATGGAAAGTAGGAAACTAACAAATGTCCAATACCATGGGATTACTTAGATAGAAGTATAAAAAACACTGGAAACCTAGATTTGGAAAAATGTTTAAAGATGCAGGGGGATAATCACAATATACTTTTTAAAGGATAAAGGAAAAATACAGGCATAAAATACCACTTTTTATTTTTAAAAAAGTTTCTTTTAAATACCACGTTTTAAAGGTAGATGTTGGGGCTCCTGGGTGGCTCAGTCAGTTAAGCATCCAACTCTTGATTTTGGCCTCAGCTCATGATCCCGCAGTATGCGAGTTCAAGCTGTGAGTCAGGCTCTGCATTGACAGTGTGGGACCTGCTTGGGATTCTCTCTCTCCCTCTCTCTCTGCCCCTCCTCTGCTCTCTCTTTCTCAAAATAAATGAATAAACAGTTAAAAATAAAAGTAGATGTTTACACACACACACACACACACACACACACACACCCTAAAGTCTCTGGCTAGTGGGATTATGAGTGAGCTCTGCTAATTTCATTGTCCATTTTTCCATCTTCCAATTTCACAAAAGGAACTCATATGTTTGTTGCGGGGGGGGGGAGTATATACAATAGAATTTAACGTTTTAAATACACATGGCAGAAGAAAATGCAAACCTATAAGCTAGCAATCTTAAAAATCAATTTCCCAAAAGGGAAGGGCAATGAAAGAAGGACAAGGAAGAAGGAAGTGTTATCATTTACCGAACAGTTCTAATGGGGAGAGGACTCATTTTAGCAACCCTGCTGGGCGCCTGGCTCAGAGGCGCCAGCTAAGCTGTGTGTGTGTCGTGGGGGGGGGGGGGGGGGGGGTAGTCATGTGGCCTGCGTGTGATGAGACCAAAATGTTCCTCGGCCATCAGATCCTTACTCTGGAATTTTGTCTTTTGTTTCCTCAAGTCTTGTATTTTTAAGTTTATTTTTTATTTTGAGAGAGAGAGAGAGAGCACATGTGCAGCACGCAGGAGGGGCAGAGAGAAAGAGAGAGAGAATCCCAAGCAGGCTCTGCACCACCAGTGCAGAGTTCTCTGTGTGGCTCGAACTCGTGAGATTATGCGTGACCTGAGCCGAAATCAAGAGTTGATGCTTCACTCACTGAGCCACCCAGGCGCCCTTTTCCTCACGTCTTAAGTTAAATTATTTTAAAACCATTACCTTATACAATGCTGTTCTATTGGCCAATGGTTGATAGTAGTCATTTTTACAGGGTACATGCAAAGATTTCTGAACTTCTATGGTTTTACTAGTTAGTAGTTTTTCAGCAAAACAGCTGTCTTTACTTCTTCCAATGACATTTAATTTCCATTTATGAGTATTATTTCTATGAAAAATAAGGTTTAAAGATATTTTATTAGTACAGAGACTTTGCAAATACCACCTTTCAATAGCCAATGAAATTCTTTCCATATTATTGTATAAAGAGACTTATTCACTGATGCTCAGACTCTGCTCCATTTTGGTCCTGTGCAGCAAGAAATGTACAATTGTCATGGGATGGGGCAAGGGGCAGTGGAGGAGAAGAACCTGAGTGGTCCTACACACACACACACACACACACACACACACACACACAGACGCACGCACGCACACACACACCCCCTATTGCATACCATCTATTATAGATGTCAGACAGAAATGTTTAAAATTTCAATGAGCTTTGAAGATGGGCAAGTTCAAAGACTCTTAACCCAGGCTGGGACAGTGGCATTGGTTTCATGAGGTCCACAAACAAACTCTTGAACTTGTGTTCTGGAAGTTTCTATATACGCACCAGGTTTTATATTCCTTTGGGCAGTTTCTTCCAATCCTCTTCTCCTACTGTTGAGTAAACCCATGTCTGGATTGGCTGCCCTCACCATTGCTGTACTAGCACTTTACATGCCTTACTGAACAAAGGTTAGTTTGAATAGATTTTATTATCGTTCCTTCTGATTAGAAATTAGTAATCTGGAAGAGGAAACAACTTTAACCCTGTTTTTACAAAGGAGCTCCATTTTTTTTAAAAGCTTACTTATTTTAAGAGAGATAGACAGAACGAGAGCAGGGGAGGGACAGAGAGAGAGAGAGGGTAAAAGAGAATCCCAAGCAGGCCCCTCGCTCTCAGTGCAGAGGATGACACAGGGCTCAAACCCACGAACCTGTAAGATCATGATCTGAGCTGAAATTAAGAGTTGGACGCTTAACTGGATGAGCCACCCAGGTGCCCCTAAAAAGGAGCTTCTAAGAAAGGAAATGTTTGCAACATGATGTTTGTTTAAACTGCACATTCGAAGGGGGCCTGGGTGGCTCAGTCGGGTAAGTGTCCGACTTCAGATCAGGTCATGATCTCATGGTTCATGAGTTCGAGCCCCACATCAGGCTCTGTGCTGACAGCTCAGAGCCTGGAGCCTGCTTTGGATTATATGTCTCCCTCTCTCTCTGCCCCTCCCCTGCTCAGATTCTGTCTCTCTCTCTCTCAAAAAGAAATAAATATTAAAAAATAAATAAACTGCACATTCGATATATGGATCCACATACTAAACGCAACAGACGTGTGTTAAGTTGTCCTGTGTGCATGACACATTTGTACCCACCACAGGCTCTTGCAGCCCCTACTCTTCACCTGCAGTAGCATGGAAGGAAGACCAGCACTCACTGAACTCCAGGGATTGTATGGAATATGGACAATGGAGATGACTATTTCCCTTACTTGTGATCTGAAAGCTAAAGTTCATGTAGCAACAGGGCCAGAATGCAAACGCACATGAGCTTGGCCCTCAAGGACAGGACTGCACTGCCCAATACTATGTTTTCACAGTCGGTGTGTGAGTCTGGCCCCTCCTCTGGGTATGCATTCACACAAGATTGGTCAGGACTGGGCGGGAAGCGGTGGGTGGGTTGACAGACTGTCCTAAAGTTTGAAAGCAGTAGGTCAATGGCCATGGACCATAATAGAGCTACCTGGTCCTTGAAATGGATTCAGAATCCCACTGGCATCATCTTATTCTCAAGTGTGTCTACTGTTTCCCCTACTTCAGTCCCACTGAGCTGGAAAGAGACCTATTTCCAGATCTTTCTGTCCCATCACTTATGAAGAAGAGAGTACATGCATTTCATCTTATCAGGCCATGTTGTTCTCCACTTCTGCAGTCCTAACACCCAGTAAGTCCTGACGGGTGGAATGCTCCCGTGTCCCCACCACCGCACTGCGGGTGCTGAAACATGTGGATGCCGGCCTTGCTCGAGGAGTCAGGCCAACTGACCCAGAGCCTTGATCATCTGTGTTCTCATACAGGGCCATCCCATCCTGGTTGCGGGAGCCACTCCTGCCCCACAAGAAGGGATTTGAAAAGCTCTGGGCCATTCTTGTGAAGCCCCTTACCAAGCCAAGCTTGTTTGTCAATTCCGAACATGATTGAGTCAGGATTTGCTTGTGCCTTTTTCCTCTATCTTCATGGCCTCCCCTCTACCACTGAAAGCCCCCTCTTTCCTGTGTCCCCTCCCTTCTTGGTGGATTTTCCCCTTAAAATTTTATCTGACTTGAGGATTGAGGTATCAGTCTCCAGAGGCATTTGATTATTAGCCGAGGACTCCCTAGAAATGAAAGGATTATGGTTTTAATGGTGGGGGAAAGGATTCCAGGGATGGAATCCGGCCTTTGATGGATTCCACACAAAATTCCAAAGGCTCACTCCCACGTGTGCATGCGCGTGCGCGTGCGCACGCGCACACACACACACACCCCTCTGAGGCAAACCAGTGAACGCTATTTGAAAAAGCCCCCATCTTCAATACCTCTAGGCACCCAAAACAACCTGTGTGGAGTCCCAGTTACTTTCAAAACCATTATAAAGTCTGCTCCTGATACCATCGCTTTCGTCTCATCTTATTCATTAGCCTCAAACATGCTTTAAAGTTTGTCACCACAGCCCCGGAGCCACCGCGCTGTTCTAGCCCTGGCACACCCTCTTCCTGGTTCGCCACACGTCTCTGACAGCCTGTTTATTTGATTATTCCACTTTTCCTTCCTAACCCAGGCTGTGTTCCCCACCTTCCATATCAGAAGGACAGTTAATGCTTTCCATCGCTATCTGTCTCCAAGTGACATTTGTAGATAACTGACTCCTCCCTTCCATGTGCTCTTTCTGCCCAGTCCAGAATGCTTCCTTGAGTCATGCCTTTATTCAGTCAGGACTAAGCAGATTTTTTTTTACCCTATTTGTGAGTATTCATTCTACTTTTGTGTGAAAAGACCCAGTTGTGACCCGTTTCTGGAATCATCACCCTTAAAGGGTCACATAAAATTCACTGCTAGTCGAAACAAACAACAGAAAAAGAGTTCTCAAATTTCTCTGACTCCTGGAAGTGCCTATGCATAAAAACAAACCCAAATGACCTCATTGTGTGTAAAACCACAGGAACGATAACAAGGTTTCACTGTCCTATCTCACTGTGCTCTCAACTGCACTGGCTGTCAATAATGATCAGGACCCACCCCAGAAATCTGCTACATCTGCCGGCGGGCGTACCACCACCACTCCTCTGGCCCTGAGCTATCTTCCACAAGACAGTGTCAAATCTCTATAGAAATACACGTAGACATACATACCCATGCAAGTACGCACACTGCACCACAAATGTGCCAGATAAACACTATGGCACCAACACTAATAATCCATCACATAGATCACTGCTTGTCCAAGTTACTCCTTCCCGTCTCACCCAATAATGTATATAGAGAACCCAGTTCAGTGATAATCATTGACACATTCAGTTGGTTGCTCTTGATGAGGAGTGTCCTGGTATACACTGGAGTGGTGTGGCCTGCGAAAGCTGTGCCAAGCTCTTTCTGTGCTCTGCTTTCTCACTGCCCCTGGCTGTAGGCTTGCGATTGACTGCAAAACCCACACACCCTTCACTAACACTACCGCCTGGCCCTCAACAGAGCCCGAAAAAATTAACTAGATGTGTCCATATCAATTCTGACCCCTCTCCTCACCCTGAGGGTATCACCCAGGAAGCCAAGGCTACCCCGTTCACCACATGTTCATTATGGAAACTTTGCCAATTTGCATTTGGCCAGCAACTCTTGACAACAGGAAAAGCTGAATTTTAAAACGAATTTCATTTGCTACCCACTTACCTTTTGAAGGATCCCCTAAAAGAAATATTAAGGTAATCTTTTACTAAGGCCACTAAATGGGGTGTCTGGAAGGCTCAGTCGGTTAGGCGTCTGACTTCAGCTTGGGTCATGAGCTCACTGTTGGTGAGTTCAAGTCCCGCGTCGGGCTCTGTGCTGACAGCTGAGCCTGGAGCCTGCTTTGGGTTCTGTGTCTCCCTCTCTCACTGCTCTTCCCCACCCATGCTCTGTCTCTGTCTCTCTCAAAAATAAACATTAAAAAATTTTAAAAAAAATCACTAAGAAGATAAACACAAGGATAACATTTAATTTAATTTCCCAATAATGAAGTATTTATTGAATGTTAGAGGAAGAGTAAGGGAGAATAAATGCATGGATTATTCTTTTGGACTGCTGTATATTTGATTTGCGGAACTAAGCCCAAGAGTGCTATGAAATATGCTATCGCAAAGGGAAGTCATACTCACCCCTTTTGGAAAATGTAAGATCCACTGTCCTCCAACTCAATTGGCCAAAACTCCAAAATATAATCGTGCAAAGTAATTCTGGGTGAACTTCTTGAGTTTAGCTCAGTGTGTCCATGTGATCCATTGTTCTTGTACCACTTGATGGTGGTTGTTTCATTATTGTGCTCAGATGCTGATGAGCAGTATCTCAGATAGAAAGATTCCCCTTCAATTGCAGTGACGTGATGACGTGAAATACAGGTTTCTTCATAAGATTAGCAAAGTGAAAGGAAAAAACTCAGGTAAATTTTTTCTTTCCTAATGCATTAGATGAATAAGCCAGGTTAGTAAGAAAATCGTAAGCAATCTCAGTATCTCAGTCATGTGGGTTCTCTTATCATAGGGCCAATCCTTCCAATGCTGCTCACTTTTAGGACATAAATGAAGACACAATTTCCAACAGCTTTTCCCAAACAGGAAGGTACCAAAACTTAACCTACCATAGCTAGAAGACAGATAAATGTAGTGTAAGCTTTTCAAAGAAAATGCTACCCATTATAATTTCTTTGTAAGGAAAGCCATAGAAGTCACAGCATTGCCAAATCTACACCACGCCCCCAAAGCTGGAGAGTTGCCATGGAAATGAAAACCAGAAATTTGGAGGCCTCAGAGTTCTTCATCTGTCTCAGCAGAAGTGTCACCTCGCCTGCTCTCAACCAGCCTGCCTAACCTTTTCCTGGGCAGACGGGCAGATGCATAAGGTGCTCCGATGTAGCTTAGAGCGTGTGAGAGTTCACTCTCTCTCCAGGTTACCATGTGGATCATCAAGAATTGATTAATATAATATCATTCCAAGTCTGGGTATCTGCCACTTCCCTCCTTACATTCCCATACAATGTTATATTCGTTTCAGATGTACAACATATTGTTTCAACAATGCTATACATTACTCAGTGTTCACCATGATAACTGTGGCCACCATTTGTCACCATACAATGTTATTACAATATTATTGACCATACTTTCTATGCTGTACTTTTCATCCCCATGACTTATTTTTATTTTATAAATTATAGTTTATTTCATAGTCTAAAAATATATTTTACATATCATTTATTTAAATATTTATATATTTTATATTTTAGTATATTTTATATTGTTTATTTTATACATTATAGTTTGTTTTACAGTTATTTTATAACTGGAAGCTATAATCCCCTTTTTCTATTTCACTCACCCCCCACCCCCACCTTCCCTCCGGCAACCACCAATCTGTTCTCTGTATTCAAGTGTCTGGATTTGTTTGTCTGTTCATTTGTTTTGTTTTTTAGATTCTACCTATAAGCAAAATCATATGGTATTTGTCTTTCTCTGTCTTATTTCACTTAGTGTAATACCCTTTAGGTCCATCCATGTTGTCACAAATGGCAAGATCCCATTCTTTTTGTGGCTGAGTAATATTTCATCACACACACACATATATATGAAATAAAATATATAATATACTTATATGTGTGTGCATGCATGTGTGTGTATACACATATACATATATATCTTCTTTATCCATTCATCTATCAATGGACACTTGGGTTGCTTCCATATCTTGACTATTGGAAATAACGCTACAATAAACACAGGGGTGCATGTACTTTTCCAGTTTCCTTTGGGTAAATACCTAGTAGTTAAATTACTGGATCGTGTGGTATTTATATTTGTAATTTTTTAAGGAAGCTCCATACTGCTTTCCGCAGTGGCTACACTAATTTATATTCCCACAAATAAGATTAACTGAATTTTCAGAGTGAGAATCCTTAAATTAACTAGAGCATTTCTCCCAGGGCATGGAGAAAATGCCTCCTCTATAGTTAGGGTCTATTTTTCAAAGCAACTGTTTGGTTTTAATTCGATGTTGTTAACCACAATGTAAAGAGGAAGTGGCTCAAATGGTAGAAGTAGTCTTTGAAAACATGGATGTCAAATCTACCTCAAAGTACAAGTGTTAATGCATATCAACCTTGTGTTTGGTGGTTGTTCTAGAAACTCCATTTCACATTTTGGTTCTCCAACAGAGAAGGTGTGATACATGTGTAAGTGTTAGTTTAAATGGGCATCCGAAAAGACAGTATGTCCAAAACAATTTGATGTGTTTTCCTGTTTCAGAGGTATAATAAGCATAAAACCATACAATATGCGCTCTTCTGTGTTTGGATTCTTTCCTACATAATCATGACTCTGATAGGCATCCATGCTGCTGCATGTGGCAGTGATTTGTTTTTTCTCATAGTTATGCAGTATCCAGTTGTGTGGGTATATGACAATTTTTCCATTCTATTGGTGTTGAACATATGAGTTATTTCCAGGTTTTGGCCAATATTTTTTTAAAAACTTCTAAAAATATCTGTGTCTGTGTTGTGATAGGCATATTCACCATTTCTTTCTGGGAGTAGTTATCCTTTGAAGAACCATAACCTGGTTTACATTCTTTCCAGGGGTAGATGGTTGGAGTGGGAAGTTCTCACTCTCCTGGCAATTAATGGCTTCAGCTACTAACCTTATGCTTAACACTACAGACTTTGTTGATTAGAAATGGTTTTTGGTTGAAAAGAATTAGTGGAGTTCAAGGTGTGTGGATTGCCCATAACAGGTACTCACTCCCATTTATACATGAATAGAGAGCAAGAATCCAGCAGTGTCAACAACCTAGATGTCTGTGTTTGGAATTGCCTTGAGTTGGGACAGTAAATAGGATGTTGTCACTCAACTTCTACTAGGTTAAATGAAACCTCCTGTAGAATATTGTCATATTTGCTTAGAGTAAAGCCTTTATGAAGGTGTCATAAAAGCACAAAGAGCTGGGACCTTAGTAACCTTATAGAATGGGCTGTCTGGCTGTTTCTGAGCCTGAAATATGTTTCATTATAATTTGGGAGCAAGGTTATTAACGTATGTCTATAAAGTAAGGTACCCATGATGCACACTTGTCTGCACCTTGCTTTTTCACTCAGCAGCTTCTAACAGATTATTCCATTTCCAGAGGAGCAGATCTGGATAGTATTGCATTGTATGGATCTCAACAAAACTGGACCCACTTAAGTAAATATTGGACAGGAATTATTTGAAAGTATCAATTTGCTCTCTCTCCCGCAGTAGTTCTCAACGTTGGGGGTATGGGTTCATATGTTTCCCTCTCCCAGATGACAGGTCAAGCAAATCAGTATTTGCATTCCCACTTTCTCTTCCAAAGCATAAGGAGAGCCTTGCTTATCAGTCATGTGTCTCTTCTCCAAAGGATCCTGATGAGACCACAGAATCATTCTCTAGGAGTTTTTAAGTGATCACTGCTACTACTAATCAGGTAAAGTGGGTACCTGCCACCTTACTTGTTTTCCCTCGTCTATATAGTCTTTCTCAGGTACTCCTTCTAACTCGAATATTTCCCTCAAGACCTGTAAGGTATTCCCACTCTCTGTCTTCATTACCTAAATAACAAGATGAACCTTGGCCTTCATGTTGGCAGAAAAATAATGTGTATAAAAGTTTTCTAAATATCAGTAATAAAGATGGCTGTGAACTCTTCAGTTTCCAATAATACAGAGCAGATTTTCATCTCAGACCAATGTAATTTGTTTCCAGATATAGTCCTGCTCTCTCTCTCTCTCTCTATAAACTCAGAGGGCTAAATCCTTTCCTTTTCAGCAATCCCATATGATTCTTCACTTGATTCCATTTCTATGAACGTTTTATTCTCTATGCCAGGGACACAGATGGGCAACTCACAGAGTAAAATTTAAAACCACTAATTTTAATAAATTCAGCATCTTCAGTAGCCACCTCCACATAAAAAAAGTGGATCTTTGATATTCCCTCTCAACTTCCAACGAAGTATGCCTGTGAATGATTATAATTACTTACCTGAGGTGCTTGTAAACATAAGCGCCAAAAGTATCAAGAGCAGTACTATATGATGCATATTTAGGATCCATACTATATGATGCATATTTGGTTTGAGTGGTTTCTCTGGAAAACAGAATAAGATGGGTTCAGCCAAAACTTGTAAACAAACGTATACCTGTCTCATGAAGGAGACTTTAAAAACTCCTCCGGCATGTACACTTCAAAGACGTCAGTACGATAAGTTTTCATATCCCTTAATACAGCCACCAAGTGTTCTCAGAACTTTCAGTTGTATACAGTTCATAACATTTCCTGTTTCAGCATCCAGAAAAATCCCACTGGTACAATTTTCTGATACAGGAGAGGCTGCTGTACAGAAAATCTACTGTTCTATGAAAGAACATTCTGTGAAATACCAAGATATGTACGGCAGGTTTGCTCGTGTAGGAGTGTGTGTGTGTGTGTATGTGTGCTTTTTTTTCTCTCATCACACCAAAATGCTCATCGTGACCTTCCTTTGTGGCTTAAATTTTTAAACTTTGATCTTCCTTACACCGAGTGTGAATATTTCATAAGCAATCCCACGTTCCCTGCATAACACATCCTGAGCTCCACTGGGTGGAGGCTACAGAGCACAGTGGAAGAGCTTGCTTTCCGGGGCATGCACACCTGGACTGGCATTTCCAGCTGGAGCCTTGACCAGCTGTACAAGTTCGGGCCACCTAAAAGTTGCAGAGACTACCTGCTCATTACCGAAACGGAAGTGATGAGAAGCCCTGTCACCAAAATTACCAAGTGACATGATGAGCTAATGTTTACTAAGGCTTTCTGGATGCAGAGTGGCCTGTCAGTCCCAAACAATTCTCTTACTAACGGCCGTGCACCTCCCGCACTTCAGAAAGAAGAAAAACAGTTCATGTCCAAATCCTGGATGAAGTTTAAGGGTTGCACAGTCAAGCCCTTTACTTCAATCTTTATGAATAACTTCACAAAGCAAAGTATCTGATGTAATTTCCAAGAGATAATAATCAATCATGTAAAGATAAAAGGGTTAAGTACGTATGGAAAGTACCAAGTGTTCAAAATAACTACATTAGAATATTTCTATGGTTCTATGGTTTGAAATCAACCCCCCACCCACGCGCGCGCGCGCACACACACACACACACACATATTTATTATTAACTATCTATTCTATTCCCTTGAGTGGAATGAAAAGTGTTGTTTCCTCGGGTGAAGGTTGACCCAGCTTTGTAAAGGGCACTGCTGTTTTTTTCTTGGTTTTGGTTTTTGTTAAATTTCAAGGTCTACTGAGAGATAAAGTTATTAAGAAATAATCCAGCATTCTGATGAGTAAACCCTGAGTTTCAATATAAAACATGATAAGAACCCAGAATACAAATTACCTGATATTTGTACTGTTCTGTGTGTGTAAACATAAAAATTTTAATGTGCTTTTATGGGTTTAAAAGATTAAGATATTAAATAACAGAACTCATTTCCAAAAGAAAAGCTATTCTGGGAAATGTCACATTTGGTGCTATGTGTGATGTTGATTATTATTTTGCCTTTCCATAATTTTTAAATGTCCTTCTTCTTTCTTCCTTCCTTTTTTTTTAAAAGAAGTTTTCTGATTTCTAAAGTATTATATGCCCGATATGGGACATTTCTCAAATGAAGACTGAAAAGAAGAAAATAATCTCAGTACGCAAAATAATTTAACATGTTTCCTTGTGATTTTCCTACATATTTTCAAATAATTAGGATTATGTTTAAGAAATTTCATATCCTTCACTTTCCACATATTAAATGAGCACCTTCCTGTGTCACAAAAATCTCATTATTACCATCATCTTAATTGCTACATATATTCCTTGATATGGGTCTAATTACAATTTATGAGATATATTTTGTTACAAAATAACCCCATGACCATCTTCTCATGTCAGTTCATATGGATCAGTTCTTGGAGAACGGCATCTGGTGACAGGCTGGCTGGATTTGAATCCTTATCCTACTCTTTATCAGCTGCATAACATTGGGCAAGTCACATATAGTCTCTGCTCCTCAGTTTCTTCATCCAGGAAAGAGTAACAATACTACTTCCCAGAACTGATGGGAACATTACATGAGTTACTATTGCAAAGTATCTGGTACCTAATAAATATTACTTATTTTATGTATTTACCTTTCCTATTATTTTCTTGGTGTTACAACAGAGATAATACAGTGGATAAGTCAAAGAATACATTTCTTTGTATTTGAGAGGGAAAGAGAGAGAGAGACATAGACAGAGATAGAATGAGTGGGCAGGGAGAGGGGCCGAGGGAGGGAGGGAGAGAGGGAGAGAGACAGAGAGAGAGAGAGAGAGAGAGAGAGAGAGAGAGAGAGAGAGGGAGAGAATGTTAACCAGGCTCCATGCTCAATGTCAAGCCTGATGCAGGGCTTGATCCCACCACCCTGGGATTACGACTTGAGCTGAAATCAAGATCAAATGGTCAACTGGCTGGGCCACCCGGGGACCACAAAGAATACGTTTTAAACATGATAAACACATATACAAAACCGCATTCCAGAAATGTTGCAATAATTCATACTCCTCAGCTGCAGAAGATAATATCCATCTATCACACCCATGTAAGCACTGAGCATTCTCATTCTTTAAATGTAATTAGCTGATCAAATTGGTAAATAGTATCTCATGGTTTTTTTAATGGTATAAATAAGGCAGAATATTAGGCATATATTTTTAGTTAATTTATTCCCATGGGTATGGACTACCTTTTTATACCTTTGGTCCAATTCTTACATGTTTTAGTGTCTGTTTTTCAATTTATTTAGTTTACCTTTAAATTCCTCATTTACTGTTTTCATATATGGGAGACTTCCCATTTATGCTGTCAAACCCAGCATTCTTTTCCTTTGTGCTTTTCCATGACTTTTACATGTAGCACATTCCTTTCCTCTCAGTGGTTAGATGTATACTCAATGTATACTTCCTTCATTTCTTACGGCTTCAGGTTTTATTTTTACATTTAAACTTTTTTATCTGTTAACAATTGTCTTGGTTGGTATGAAAAGTAGGTCTAACGTAAGTTATTTTTCTGTAAGAGCTACTAATTGCTTCTCTATAATTAAAGAGTCCTGTCTTTGCTTTACAGTGTGCTGACAGCATAGTTATAAGTATGAACCCTCTGCAAGCCCTCCGTGGAAATCTAACCGTATGACTGCTCAGGTGCATACATATGCAACTGCGCGCATGCGCACACACACACCTCTCTCCTCTTCCATTGTTTTGTTTTTCCATTCATAGCACTTATCACTAACTGACACACTTTATTTCGTGTTTGTTTATTATCTGCTGCATTAATGAACGCAGTAGATTCATTAACTATGTACAGCTTGGCATCTTAGGTGATCATCTGATCCATCGCTACCCTCACATAACTTAATTTTCGCAACCCTTCTTAAATCATAACATCTGGAAAAATATGTTTTAACAGCGGATGTGAAGTCGACCTTGAGCTTAAAAAAATAATAATAATGCCTGGGTCCTCACCCAGACACCTGAGGTACAGCCTAGGCTTTCTGATAGGTAAAAATCATCAGGGTGATTCTAATTTGCAGCCAAGGTAGGAAGACACTAATCTAGGTGGCTTATCTGTATACTTAAAAGTAAATTTAATATATCACAAATATATATATTTAATAATAATATTTAAGACATTAAGTATCTGTGCATCTATACGTATGCGTCTATAAGTGGGTATCTATGTGTACACACACACACAAAGAATAGTCACAAACGCCCCCTGAGTAACCAAATGGAATGTAGTTTTCTCTGAATGAAAAAGATCCTCTTCTAAAAATTGTGACTTCGGGTGCCAGTTACATACAAGCCCACTGTTCTCTCTGACCCCCAAGGTAGTACAATCCAGGGCCCCTGCAGAGGGTCTGAATGTTCATTCCTGAACCCCGGGTTCTGCCCAGCTGCCCTGTTTACAGACCCCACCCCAAGCAAAGGGACCATTCTCTAGAAAAAAAACAATTCACAGACACCCCACATTTGTGAGGCCACTTCAAAGTTCTTTCTGCTAAGGAGGCTGAGACTGGCTCAGGTGAACAGGTCCAGATTGTAGAAAGTTATGCTGAGCCACACATCAATAGATGTAGATTGCTTCGGTGTAAATCACCCTTATTAGCAAAATGAAATTGACTACCTCCTAAGATAAGCTGCCTTGATGAAAATCTTAACACCAGTGATTTTTAAAATAATTTTTCTCTACAGTGTTCAAAACCTTTGAGATGACAAAACCGCCAAACGCAAAGAGGAAAAAGTGATCTCGGACAGAAAACACACACATGTGCGCACGTGTGTGCCCATTATTTACGGTTGAACTAGGGTTTCCATTGCAGGGCCAGGAGAATCATCCCCATTTCTTTCGTTGTCTTTTTCCCATAGGTGTCTGCTGGGATCCGTATGCTTCCCCCACCTCCACCTGTGCCTGCGCCTACCCTTCCTGCTTCTAACTGCTGGCCTCCTGTAGTTCTTACAGCCTGCTCAGTGGTTGCCTTCCCAAGGAAGCTCTCGAACGGCTGGTGCCCCAGACAGCCTGTGTCCACACCCATACCACACTGCTTTCCCATTATTCCTGGATTCATCCCTGATCCCTGGGACTTCCCTGAGGACAGAAATCCCGTCTTTCCGTGTTCCCACCCGGCTTGTTCATAGCCTTTCTATGTGTTTTTGTGCTGGCAGGAGCGGGGAGCGGTCATACCCTCCCAGAACCTGCATAAAGTCAGTTTCTCCCAAATGTACACCCTCCCAAGCAATCCAAGGCCTTGGGGTTGAGATGTGTGCCCCAGACCCCAGCGCTGCATAGCACCAAATGAGTGTTGGTGGAGGTTCCCAGGAATAGAACAAGGAAGAAGGTGAAGTTAATGCCATTAGGTGTCTATATCTGCCTGGGATTGCCGAGTCTTTAATTTGTCTCATATCTGTAGTGCAACTTGCTTGGGGTTCCGACTCCTGGAGGCACGTTGACTTAAAGGCAAAAGTTTTGGAATTAGAGACAAATTTTAGCACAAATCTGTGATCTATTACTTAGTAGCTGGATGCCCTTGGATAAATTACTAACCATCTCCGTGCTTTGGTTCTCCCTCTTTTATTAAGCATTATGATAGTGCCTACTTCATTTGGCCTACAGGAGGAATAAATAAAAACAACGGATCTAAAAGTTTCCTACACAATGTCAGACAAGAGCTTAATAAGTGAAAACTACCAATTATTTTAGCTGTTTTCACTTTTTCAGAAAAAAAAAATTGGGAAAGTTTTAACCTCTAGAATTATACTATCAGCAAAGGTTGATGATGCTGTCTCACCAGCTATTCAGAAGTGTGTGTGTGTGTATGTGTGTGTGCATGTGCGTGTGTGTGAGCACGCATGCATATATAGGTGTGTGTATATGCGGACACATGCACATCTATACACATACATACTCAATATTTATATACATATCTGCACACACACACACACACACACAGAGTCATTACTTATGGTGACTCCACTTACGATTTTTTTTATTTTACGATGGTGCAAAAGACATAAGCATTCAGCGGAAACCATACCCAGAATTTTGAATTTGGATCTTCCCCCAAGTCAGTGTTATGCCCTAGGGTCTTCTCTAGCCCCGACTCCTGGCCGGCCAGAGGATCATGAAAGTGAACAGTAGATACACTTACAGCCATTCTGTACCTTTGCAACCATTGTTTCTCAGTTTCAGCACACTATCGGATCAACCGAAGGAGATACCCAGCAGTTTATTGTGAGTTACGCATTGTGTTAGAGCGTTTTGCCCGACTGCAGGCTACTGTATATGTTCCGAGCATCTTCAAGGCTGGCTGGGCTAAGCCATGATGTTCAGGAAATTAGGTGTATTAGGTTCATATTCCAGTGACTTACGGTATTTTTAACATCCAGGCTGGGTCTTCAGGACTACCCTCAGCATAAGTGGAGGCAGGCCTGTGCACACAATGGCGTACATACCAAGCTGCTCTTGTTTTCAGAACCCCTGCCCCAGAAGGCTGGGGTGCCCTTTGCCAGGCAGGCTGGTGGCAGAGGGAGAGGGGGAGGGGGCGCCGCTCCTTACCTTCAGAGGGGAGTCCCCGAGGCTGGCGCGGGGGAGGCCTTCCCTCCTCCACCCTGGTGGCCTCAGCGACGGAGGCAAGAGTTCAAAAACCAGGTGAGAAACTTCAATCGCCGCCTCCCCGGCACTGTGAAACACGAAACGAAAGCGAGGAGCCGCAAGTGCGATTAAAGATATAAGGCAACTAGAGAAGGTTGGAGGAAAGAAAGAAAAGAAAAAAGAAAAAGAAAGAAAAAGCTTCTGGCCGCCGCGGAGGCGGTGGGTGGGACGCTGCCCGGCGGTGTCTGCAGTGCTGGAGGTGGGGCACTGCTGGATGGCGAGGAGTGTTCCAGGTCTGGGTTGCGCCAATCCAAGATGCTCCCGGTGGGATCTAAGGACTGGGGGGTATCCTCCCAGTCTGCGGTGTTCCTCTGTGGGGGGCACGCCCTGTCCCAGATGCTCTGGCTCCAGAATGTTCCTGGTCTGGGGCGCCCCTCCCAGCGTGCTAAGGGCTTGAGCTCCTCCACCTGGGCGCCCCGCCTCTGAGTTCCGGGAGCTGCTTGATCGCGGCCGCGACCGCAGGCCGTTGGAAAATCCCGCCTCGCCCCTGCACTGAGGTCGGCTGTGGTCCCCGGTGGCGCGCGGCGGGTCACTGGAGCTCTCGGGCAGTGGGCGGTGGCCCAGGGACCTGCAGTGCCCTGGGCGCTCTGTGCCGCTCCTTGCGCGCCCTACGGGCCGCCGAGAGGTTTGCACTAGAGTAACGTCACCCTGCGTGGGGCACACGGGCAACCATCTGTGGTCAAGGGGAAGGAGCTGGGGGTGGGGGGCTGTACACAAGAAAGAGGCCGAGTATCAGCCCCAAACAGAAAGGACGGCTTCTAGAGATCATCCAAGGTGCGGAGGAAGCCACTGTCGCAAGAGCTCAAGCCTCAGATCTGTGCTGAGGCCTTCTGCTTGTGCGCGGCGCGGGGGGGGGGGTTCTCTCTTGGGAAGTAAGTAGAGAGGGGTCAGAGGGGTTGAATAGAAATTTTAAGTTGTTTAGAAAAAAAGAAGGCCAGAGGAGAACATGTGTGTCTAGTTTTTTGGTTTTAGTGTGGTAGAACTCAGGATACATTTTTAGACTGGTTTGCAGTAGGGTCTTTCCACCAAAAGTGAGGAATGAAACCCATGGCTGACAGGGAGAGGTTTAATGAGACAGTGATTTTCATCGTTCTCACTCAGTCAAAAGAATTCGTCGTATAATAAAAGAGAAAAATCATATAATTACCTCAAATGCAAGAAGAACAAGCATCTGACAAAATTCAACAACCTTTCTTCATTAATAACACTAAGAATACTGAGAATAGAAAGGAACAGTCTTACTCTGATAAAGAATGTCTATTAGAACTCCCCTATGACCCAGCAATAGCACTGCTAGGAATTTACCCAAGGGATACAGAAATGCTGAGGCATAGGAGCACATGGACCCCAATGTTCATAGCAGCACTCTCCACAATAGCTAAAACATGGAAAGAGCCTAAGTGTCCATCACCGGATGAATGGATCNCATGGCAATGAGAAACAATGAAATCTGGCCATGTGTAGCAACATGGATGGACCTTGAGGGTGTTATGCTGAGCGAAATAAGTCAGGCAGAGAAGGACAAATATCATATGTTTGCACGTATAGGAGGATTAGGAGGAACTTGACGGAGGAATAAGGGGGAGAAGAAGGGCGGAAATGGTGGGGGAAAGGGAGAGAGGCAAACCATGAGAGACTCTTGAATGCTGACAAAAACTGAGGACTGATGGATGTGGGGGGGGGGGGATGGGCATGGAGGAGGACACTTGGGATGAGCACTGAGTGTTATGTGGAAACCAATTTGACAATAAACTATTTGTAAAAAAAAAATTAAATTAAATTAAATTAAATAAACAAAAAGAATAAGGAATGTAAAAAAAACAAAAAACAAAAAACAAAAAAATAAAATAAAAAATAAAAATAAAAAAAAGAATGTCTATTAGAAACCTGCTTCATCATTAATACTGAAACAAACACTTTGCTATTTTTCTAAGATGGGGAACAAGATAAGGATGTCATCTTCATCAGGGACAATCCTGTTGTAATAAGTAAAGACATAAAAAGAGAAGACACACAGATTGGAAAGGAAGAGATACAATTGCTGGTTTTGACAGAGGGTGTGATTTTATGATCTCCCTTTGAAAGTTACAAAAAATTTTCACTGGAAATAATAGGTGAGTTTAGCAAAACCATGGAATAAAAAGTCAATACACAAAAATTAAGTGTAATTCTATATACTAGTAATGGAAATTTGACAAATGAAATTTGTTAATATTATCATTTATGATACCATAAAAAACCAAATGCTGAGGTATAAATCCCTTGAAACACTACGATGGAATTTACAAAATGTTGCCGAAATGAAAGACCTAAAAATGGAGGGCTATACCAGGATATATCACATTCATGGATTGAAAGATTCATTATTAAGATATCTGTTCTGCACAAACGTTGGAGTTTATAGAGTCTATACATTTTTAGACTCTATAGGCTATAGAGTTTATATAGTTCATGCAATCCAAATCTTGGAATTTACAAAGAAATCAAGACACTGTTTCTAAAATTTATGTGAAAATGCAAATGATCTAGAATAGTTAGAACAATCTTGAGGAAAAAAGAACAAAGTTAGAAGACTTACATCAACTTGAAGGTTTACAATAAGTCAATACTAATCTTGACCGTGATATTTGCATGAACATATACACAGAAAATAATAGCCAGTAGAGTAATAGACCCACACATTTACAGCCTATTGATTTTTGACCAAGGCACCATGTCAGTAAAGAACATTTTTTCACAAGTGTTGCTGAAGCAATTGAGCATCTGTATGGGGGGAAAATGAATCTTAACCCTTTCCTTATCCTATGTACAAACATTAATTCACAGTGGACAATGTCTTCATAGTGAACATAAAAGCTGGAACCATAAATACTTCAGGAAGATATATAGGAGAATATCTCCATGACCTTGAGATTAAAAAAAAAAAAAAAACAAGAAACAAAACAAAAACCAAAAAACTTACATAGGACACAGAAAACATAACCATATAATAAAACTTGATCAATTGGATGTTATTAAAATTCGGAAATGGTGGGGGAAAGGGAGAGAGGCAAACCATGAGAGACTCTTGAATGCTGACAAAAACTGAGGACTGATGGATGTGGGGGGGAGGGGGGATGGGCATGGAGGAGGACACTTGTGGGGATGAGCACTGAGTGTTATGTGGAAACTAATTTGACAATAAACTATTTGTAAAAAAAAAAATTGTCTGCTAATCAATGATTTCATTAAAAAATGAAGAGGTAAGGAGGTTAGCCTGGAACAATTCTCACCTTGCATCTATCTGAAAAGGAATTCATATCCAGAATATATAAAAAATCTCCACACATCAACAGTATGAAGAGAAACAACACAATTTAAAAAGGAGCAGAAGATTTTACTTTCATTGAGTGATACATGAGTCTTATTGGTGAATAAGAGCATGAAAAAGGTTCAACATCATTAATCGTCAGGGAACTGCAAATTAAACCATAATGAGATTCATTTAACACCCACTGAAAGAACTAAAGTTAAAAGAAACCTGACAATACCAATCATTGGTAGGAGGTGGAACAGGTGCAATCTCATACATAACTGGAGGAAATGTAAAATGATACAGTTTGCTGATTTGACAGTTTCCTAAAAGGGACCGCTCCTAGGTATTGAGCTAAGAAAAATACAAGCACACGTCCACAAGAATGTTCACAGTCTCCATATTCACAATAGGCACAACATGAAACAACCCATGTGTGCATCGACAGAGAAAGGTTAAACCAACCATGTACAGCCATACAATAGAATCCCACTTAGTGATACAGAGGAACAAACTACTGACACATACAAAACATACATGAATCTTGGAAATGTTATGCTGTGTGGAAGTAAGGAGTCACAATGCTGCGTGTCTAACCTTAGTGATACAAATGTCAAGATCTGACAAAACTAATCCCTGGAGATAGAAATCAGAAAACTGTTTGCCTCTGAGGAAGGAGAGGGATTGACTGGGAAATAGAAGGATGGAACTTCCGGGGGTAATGGACCGTTTTCTATCTTGTTGGAGCTGATAGCTACACAGGTATGTGTAATTGTCAAGACTCATCAAACTTAAGATCTGCATTTTATTGTATGCAAATTTGACTCAAGTAAGAGCAATTCTTTGTATTCTTATAACTCACCAGAATTTATATCCAGATCATAATGTAGACACCCCACTGGTTTGGGCTGAATTCCTTCTAAGCACACTCTTCATGTGGTAGGTGAAGCATCTGTCACTCTTACAGAAGAAGGAACTGAGAGACCGGTGGTACTGCCGGCAGCAGAAGTCAACCTTCTGGAAGTTCTGCGGTCTCTCTGTGAGCATGTGCTTGGAATCAGACTATTGGAGCTGAGAAAGATCTCAGAGCTCTTCTTCTCCATCCTCAGTTGCAGAAACTGACGCTCAGATGACTTGGGAGGTGGTGTGTAAGTTTGGGAAAGGAAGCGCCGCAGAAAAGAGCTCAGAGTTGCCCCTGGGGGCAGCAACCCTGTCTGAGGTCTGTGAACTGTTTCCCTTGTCCCTCCCAAGATGAGTAAGGAGTGTGCCTGATTCACCTAAATTCCCCTCCATATCTCTTCCTCTGCCTGCCCTTCTCAATGAGATACTCAGCTCATGGTCAGGAAATGTAAAGGTTGAATGCGTGCAAAGCACCATATAATACAGACAGTTAAAATACATTTAAAATAAAATGTATCAAAAACAGGGAAGAGATTATTATAAATTCCTTGTTGTGATTTCCTATGTACTTGCTGTAGAAAGAGACCAAATTGGGCTCTATGCTTTCAAGTAGCTAATGCAAAGAGGGACATAAAATCGGTTACAAAATTCCCTGGGTCTATCGGCCAAACAAATGTCTGTAAGTCTAAGTGGGTGGGGAAGCAGGGTTAAAAGCACCTCTATTCCTGATGGGGAGGTTGGAGAAATATCCCTGAGAGGCTCTCACTGAGAGATGACACAGAATACCATCCATGTTAGAAAAAGCACAGTGAAATGTTGTCATTTATTAAATTCTTACTCTGGTCCAAATAATCTTCTCCTACTTTTTGGTTTGCACAAAAATTACAAAGAGTTTGGTATGATCTATTCCCACTTTACCTAAGGTAACTAAATTTTGGAGAAGTCGAGTAACTTACTCCTAGTCACACAGCTGGCGGAGAGCAGACAATAGATTGTTGATTCTAAATGAGATGATGCTGACCGATCAACTATAGGGCATCCTTCTCACAGGCTAACTTTGTTTTTTTACTAAATCAATGAAATCAGATGTCACCACAGAAAAGCACAATAACCCACCAGAGGAGGATCATTGGATTTATCAAATAAAAAATATAAGATTCCCCGCTAAATTTGGATTTCAGATCAACTTCAGATGAAATTTCTTTCTTGGAATTCAACTTTAACTGATGTCTTGTAATTTATCTGGCAACCGTAATCCAAGGAGTATAGATTCAGGTTATAGGGTACATAGAAGGATGGGTAACTGCAGATCCTTTAGACAACCTTTCAGAAAT